TTTTTACTTAATGTTTATTTTTAATTTTTCAAGCTTTTATTTTTCTAATTCTATTTTTTATTTACTTATTATTTTTAATTTTTCTATTTCTAAAGCTTTTTATTTTATTTTTTAAATTTTATTTTTTATTTAATTTTTAATTTTTCTATTTTTAAAGCATTTTGTTTTTAATTTAATTTTTAAAAAATTTTTCTATTTTTAGGGCTTTAATTTTATTTTTTAATTTTATTTTTATTTTTCAATTTTTAAAACACATTTAATTTTTCTAGTCATATTTTTTATTTAATTTTTATTTTTAATTTTTCTATTTATAAGGAATTTATTTTATTTTTTTATTTTATTTTTGATTAAATTTATATTTTTTTCTATTTTTAAAGTTTTTATTTTTTTTTATTTAGTGCCGCCTAGACCAACTCAAGCTGGTGATTGTGGTGGTGTTTGAGGGTCTTGCATTACGGCACTACCTTTTATGGAACTCTTACAGCACTTGACAGTTTTTATTTTGTTTTTCATTTATTTTAAATTAATTTTGTTTTTTTACTTTTATTTAATTTTTATTTTAAATTTTTCTATTTTTAAAGCATTTTTATTTTATTTTTTAATTTTATTTTTTATTTACTTATTATTTTTAATTTTTCTATATTTAACGTTTTTTATTTTATTTTTTATTTTTTAAATTTACTTACTATTTTTAATTTTTCTATTTCTAAAGATTTTTATTTTTTATTTTTTTAAGTTTAAAGTTTTCTATTTTTAAAGCATTTACTTTTTTATTTTTATTTTTTATTTCATTTTTATTTTTAATTTTTTATTTTTAGAGCTTTAATTTTATTTTTTAATTTTATTTTTTATTTTTAATTTCCCTATTTTTAAAGCATTAATTTTATAATTTTTATTTTTCTATTTTTAAAGCTTTTATTTTATTTTTCTTATTTTTTATTTTTTATTTTTCTATTTTTAAAGTTTTTATTTAATTTTTTAATTTTATTTTTAATTTTTCTATTTTTAAAGCTTTTATTTTATTTTTCTAATTTTATTTTTTTTTATTTTTTATTTTTAATTTTTCTGTTTTTAAAGGTTTTTATTTTTTTTTTATTTAGTGCTGCCCAGACCAACTCAAGCTGGTGATTGTGGTGATGTTTGAGGGTCTTGCATTACGGCACTACCTTTTATGGAACTCTTACAGCACTTTACAGCACTTTACAGTTTTTATTTTGTTTTTCATTTATTTTAAATTATTTTGGTTTTTTACTTTTATTTAATTTTTATTTTTAATTTTTCTATTTTTAAAGAATAGAAATTATTTATTTATTTATATTTTATATTTTATTTATTATATTTATTTATTTTATTACATTTCATTTGGTGCTGCCCAAACCTGCTGTAGTGCATTTTTATACTTTATAATACTTTGAAGTAGTTTTGTTTTGTATCCCCATATTTTTCCCAAATGGTTTATCCCAAACTGTACCCCCCTCCTTCTACCTGTGTTATCCCTCTCCCAGGATGAGATCATCCCCAAACCCCCACCCTGGCTCTCTGTCAATCACTCAGCCTCCCATCCCCTCCATGCAGAAGTTTCGGTCCAAGTCGTCCAGTGATTAGCCAGAGGCCAGGGGTCAGCCCCCCGAGCCTTGCCCCATACGCTGTCCTGTATGTCTATGCCCCAGCATCCATCCCTTAGGGTCACTTATTGGTTGGTAATATGTTATCTACTTTCAGTTTCCACCTCCCTTTAAATGTAACCTTGGCACATCTCCCTGGGGCTCTTGGCAGGAGGCCCCTGAGGTGCAGGAGCTCCTTTGGGACTCCTAATAAAACCTTGGATTAACCCCTGCTAAGAGTCGGCCCTTTATCATCTACCGCTGTCTCTGGTGTCTCTTGTGCTGCACAGGGGCCCAGCCCAGGTGCCCTCAGCACCCTCGGGGCACAGAGAGTGTCTCCCCCCAGCCCAGGTGCCCTCAGTTCCCTCGGGGCACACACAGAGAGTGTCTCCCCCCAGCCCAGGTGCCCGCAGTACCCTCGGGGCACAGACAGTGTCTCCCCGCTCTCGGCCGTGTCAGGGCTGCCCCCCGGTGTCTGCCGACTCAGGACCGCACAAACCCGCTCGGCTGCTGATTGTGGCGGTGTTTGAGGGTCCCCAGGACGAGGGAAGAGACGAGAATCTTGACTCCACCTCTCAGAAGGCTGAAATATTATTTTATGATCTCTATTATATTAAAAGAAAATGAGATAGTAGAACTATACTAAAAGAGCAAGGAGACATCAGAAAGCTGGAAAGGAATGAATAATAAAAATAATAAAATAAAATAAAATAATAAAAACCTGGGACTGCTCACAGCCCCGACGCAGCTGGACCATGATTGGTCATCAAGTAGACACTGCACAGGAGACTAATCCAAGATGCCCCTGTTGCTAAACCATCTCCAGCCCACACTCCACAGCCAGCAGATCGTTATTGGTTCCATTTCTGTTCTGAGGCTTCTCAGGAGAAAAATCCCAGCAAAAGGATTTTCATCAAACACGTCAGTGCCAGGTGATGGCACAGGCAGCATGGGCCGGCCGAGGTCACTGTGTCATCCCTGCCAGCCCAGGTGTCACAGCAGGGAGGAGAGAGTTCACCCTGTGCTCACCCTGCAATACAGAGCAATACAACACACATATTAACACAAGATGATAACCTTTTTCTATTTTCTTTACATGTGGATTTATTGTTATAGGAAACCCAAAACAACAAAAGCACACAAAAAACAACACTCATCTACAATTAACACCCCCTTCAGATGACACACGAAGTCACCATCCCTCTCATCACAACTGCTAAATTACACCCCAGCAATCATTGGTCCTCGGGAACGTGGTTCCCGGGAGCCTCAAAAAAATCTTCCTGCCTGACAAAAACCCCGGTCCCTGGACAGTCCGCGCCCAAACTCTGGTGATGAGCGTCGCCTCACAGACCGACTGGGACCGAGGAAAAAAAAACAGCCGGCGGGGGGGAAACCCAGCTGGGGATTTTTTATTCTAAATTTGAAAATGAGTTGAAAAACTTGAAAAGCACAAGTCACACACACAAGGTTAAATCCAGTAATCCAGTCGGCATGCGCTGACACACGCAGAGATGAGCAGACGCAGACAGACACAGACACATGCTCTCACACATGCTCACACGCTCTTCCCACTTACACACTCGCTGCGGCCCTTACTCGAGACGCTGAAGAACGTGCTACCACACATCTTCTGGCTGCGCTCCTTGACGTCAGTTGGTAGGTTCTGGGGAAATCGGTAGCCTCGGGGACCTGTGAGACGACAGGAAGCGGTCAACGAGTGGCTATCTGACAGCTAGGACTTGTCTCCACTCTGGACCAATAAGTTTTCTACCCAAAATCCCATAAAAGACAGATGAACAGTAAAGTTTTTATAACTCTTCTACCTGACTGTGACTACGTGCCCGGGCAGGGCAGCTCCAACCATAAGTGGTACAATATAAGTACACACAACAATCTAAGTCGATGCATACAGTGCAAGTGTACATAGAGGGTAGGTACATACAGTATAAGCCAGCACAGGTACACACAATATAAGCCAGGACTTGAGATAACTCGCTGGAAGATGAATTCTTGAGTCCTATACCCTTCAGAAGATGGAACCTATAGAAGTACTGCAGTCACATGAGGAGGGTGCAAGACACTCCCTCTAGCAGTCCAAGAAAATGGCATGGAAAAAAAGGCACTACCAAAGCTGGTAGTGAGAAGGAAGATGGATGAGAACATCTTGTCTGTTTGAGACATTCCTGTCTCAAAGAGTAAAAATGTAAAGATGCCAGAATAAGGGATATCCAGAAAGGAATGTGAGTAGAATACAGCCTATATGGCACAGAATAGTGCCGATAAAGCATTGAGACGTAATAAAGGCCTATGACGTGGAAGACAACGGACACAGACACGGACAACACAGACACGGACAACATAGACACAGAGACAAGTGGCAACTGCCTGGCACTGTCCCCTTAGGCACCCGAGATGCCTAGCGCAAGATGTGCCAGAGGCTGATGATGCCAAAGGAGAGGAAGCCCTATGACGATAGCATGTGATGATGAAATGTAACTCGTTAAAAGAAGTTAGTGCCACAGCAGTTAAGAGGATGCTCGAGAGGCTCAGCGAGCCTAGAGAAGGAAGCCGACGGCCGGGTGACCGTGGCTGTAGCTCCGGACGTGAAGGCGAGCTCCTCAGGGGAAAGATCCGTGACGACGTCGGGCCGAGGAAGGCGGACGATGCAAAGTTCACGAGAATCCTGAGATGGGTCGGAACTGCCCTGCCCGGCAAAGGCTCTGGTCAGGCTGAGGAGAAATCCTCTCCCTCTTCTTCCAGAGAGCTGGTCCCACTACAGACCTCTCCGCTAAGCTGACATCAAATTGCCCTCTGTGATAGTAAAGGTTTTTCCCCTTCTCCCAACTGCTGGCCCCGACACTTAGCTTTTGGAAAAGGAGCAGACAAAATCCATCCTCGGTCGGACGTGGATGGTGAAATGTGCTCCGTGTGTGCCTCGGTGCTGTTGTTTCCAACCTTTGGCTACGAGGCTCCTCAGGGTACCTAAGACAAAACAGAAAAGGTGACTATTGCCGTCAAAAACAGTAATCCCCAGGGCTCCTCCGCACCCCTGCCCCGGCCCACCTCAAATCTTGATTTGACTCCAGAGGGTGCCCAGAAGATACCTGCAAAAAGAATAGGTACACACTTAGCATGCTGCTGTGTAACACTCACCTGTGAGTCAGCCTGCCTAAACACCGACTCACCTGCCCTCCTCTGTTCCTTGGCATGCCTAGGGCAGCGACAGCACCTGCAAAGAAACAAAGCAGAAAAGCATGCTGAGACACTGTGAAAACACAACCTCCCAAATCTGACAAGGATGCCACACTGATACCTTAAGCTGCACACACCTAGAATGGGCATGCCCGGCCAGGATAGACAGCAAGTGGACCACCTAAAATAAAAAGTGGAGATGCTAAGAGCTGCACCAGAAACTGAGACATCAGCAAAAACAACTGCTTCTGTACACTACTCAATGCTCACCTCGCCCACTTGGCCTTGACTTCCTAAAAAGAGAGCCATCATTTATGCTCTCTCTACAGAGACAAACAGTGACTGACCTGCTCGGGGGAATCCCCTCACCCGGGATGGGGGGCTCTGCCCTGGATTTCATCCTTCTGCACCTGAAAGAAAGGACAAAAATCAAAGAGCTGCAGGATAACTTAAGAGCTCCAGACATCTTGTGCCCATCTGCAAATCCCACCTAGAGTCCAACGACACCCCACATTACAAACATCAAGTCCCCGGGACTTGTCCTATTGCACCAGGCTATGCAGCAAGGCAGAGCAGCTCCAGCACAAATGTGTGCAGACACCCGTGACACAGGACAGGACAAACAACGGGGACACAACAGGAACAGAAATCTCTGGGTAAGGAAAATGACAGCGAGCACCAAGAGGACGCAAAATTAGAGGACCGAGGTGAAACTGATGGCGGGCTGATGAAGTTCAGAGAACCCTGGAGGAACAAGATGCTAACTGAATGATTTATTCCAAGAACTGCAAAGATGGATGCCCGAGAATCCTACGGTCAGAAGCCTCTACCTGTCCCCACATTCTTACAAGTCCTAATCCATCATAACAGAACCTTGCAGGGTGCAGCTGTCCATACAGCTCAGAACAGGACCTGAAAAGACATCTGACCGGATGCTTCGAAAAAGAGTTGCCATTCTGATACCTGTCTGAGCTGCCGAGTTAAAAGTTCCATGGCATCGGTGCCAGGGCAAGGAACGCTGAGAGTACAGATACTAAGACTGGTGCCAAGGTTTCTGACAGGCCCCTCAAAGGGCTATGATAAAAGACATGAGATATCCAACAACACATAATACACAAAAGACAAGTGACACAATACACACTGGGACTGCTCTGCCCCGCTCACCCCAGCACTGGGATCAAAAGTGAGATTTTGCTTTTATGGGGCCTAAGGGGCCACTTCATGGACACCCCCCCACCTCCAAAGCTACTCACCTCCAAAGCGGACTCAAATCCCCCCCTCCCAGTAATTCCCAAACCAGCACCCTGCTTTCATCCCCCCTGGGGGTCGTGGCCCTCTACTTCTCTCTCAGACATCTGGGGATGCCGGTCTCAGGTGCAAAGAAAGGCCACCTCGTCAGCTGGGAAGGTCCTGCTGGCACCAGGCTGGTGTCTCTTAGACAGCTGTATTAAAGAAAACCAAACATCAATGCCTGATCGTGGCACCACATCGGCCAAAACCCCACAAGTCTGCTCCTCACCCTTCTCTTAAGAACGCTCAGCTGCTCGGGCCGCATGCTTCGGGCACACTCAGAGACCGAGGCCGTCATCACAGTGGACGCCTGGGTTAAGAGGAGATGAGGTGATTTGGCACGGCTGAAACCTGAGTGGACCCTCGCTCCTCCCCCCTACATCCCTGACTCACCACAACTCCTGGGCAGCTGCCGGAGGCCACCTGGATGGCACCTTTAAATAGAAAAGTTCAGGGTTTCATCACCAAGTCCTGTAATGCATCCACAGGGCTCACATTTGCAGGAAACCCGGTGCATCGGCCGGCTGGTGACAGGGGCTTGGCATACTCCGAGTGGATTGCCTAAAGTGCACAAACGAGAATGGAAGCTTAGAGCTGCACCAGAAATTGAGACCTGAGCAATAACAACTACTGCTCTCCACTGCTCACCTTGACAGCTGGTATCCACATCTGCTTCCTAAAAAGAAAGACAAAGAACAGTGCTGTAACAGAGTCACCATATACACTTCTGCTGCAGAGACAAACGGGGCCTCACCTGCACGGGGGAAACCCCTCACCCGGGATGGGGCCCTCTGGCACACATTTAATCCATCTGAATCTGAAAAAAAAGTTAGGACAAAACTCAAACTGTTGCAGGATAACTTAGGAGCTCCAGACGTCTTGTGTCCATCTACAAATCCCATCTAGAGTCCCACTACACCCCACATTACAAACTCCCAGGGACTTCTCCTACTGCACCAGGCTATGCGGCAGGGCAGAGCAGCTCCAGCACAAATGTGTGTGCTGACACCCGTGACACGGGACGGGACGTGACAGACAGGGGGGACACAACAGGAACAGAAATCTCCTGGCAAGGAAAGTGGCTGCAAGGACTCAGAGAATGCAAAAGGAGATGACCAAGATGAGACAGATAGCAAACTGATGAGGCTCAGAGAACCCTGGAGGAAGATGCTGGCTGAATGATTTATTCCAAGAACTGCAAAGATGGATACCCAGGAATCCTACGGTCAGAATCCTCACCCTAACCTCGCATTCTTACAAAGCCTAATCCGTTGAAATGGAGCATTGCGGAGCACGGCTGTCCGTGCAGCTCAGAACAAGACCTGAAAAGCCACCTGACTGGATGCTTCCAAAGAGAGATGCAATTCTGATGCCTGTCTGAGCTCCCGAGTCAAAAGTTCCATGGCCTGGGGACCAGGCTGAGGAACACTGAGATCACAGATTCTAAGAATGGCGCCAAGGTTTCTGACAGGCCCTTCACAGGGCTAAGATAAGAGACATGAGATACCCAAACATCACATAATACACAAAAGACAAGGGACACGATACACACCGGGACTGCTCTGCCCTGCGCACCTCAGCACTGTGATCAAAAGTGAGACTTTCCTTTTACGTGGCCTAAGGGGCCACATCTTGGCTACCCTCATCTCCAGAGACAACTCAACCCCCTCCCCCCCAGGAGCCCCAACCCAGCACCCTGCTTTCATCCCCTCTGTGGGTCGTAGCCCTTGACTTATCTCTTGGACATATGGAAATCCCAGTCCATGTCAGGTGCGAAGGAAGGCCGCCTTGTCAGCTGGGAAGGTCCTGCTGGCACCGGGCCGTTGTCTCTTAGACAGCTATATCAAAGGAAACCAAACATCAATGCCTGATTGTGGCACCACATTGGCCAAAACCCCACAAGTCTGCTACTCACCCTTCTCCTAAGAAGGCCCGGCTCTTCGGGTCGCACGCTCCGGCCGCGCTCGGAGGCCGATGCCATCGTCGTGGGGTGCGCCTGGGTTAAGTGGACAGGAGGTGACGTGGCATTGCTGAAACCTGAGTGGACCCTCACTCCTCCTCCCTACTTCCCTGACTCACCGCAACTCCTCGGCGGTTCCTGACGGCTGCCCGGAACGCGGGGCTCGCGAGAGCGGCAAACCCGGTCCGTCGGCCCGTTGGGGATGGGAGCTTGGCATGCTCCGAGCAGATGGCCTAAGGCACAAAAATGAGAATGGAGACTTAGACTTGCCCCAGGAATTGAGACCTCAGCAACAAGAAAGGCTACTGCTCACCTTACCCTCTTGAACTTGACTGCTGAGATCCTGCTATACTTGCTAAAAATAAAGACAAAGAACAGCGCTGTAACAGGGTCACACTTGACACATCCCCTGCACAGACAAATGGTGACTGACCCGCTATGGGGAACCCCCTCACCCGGGATGGGGTGCTCTGCCATGGATGCAATGCATCTGCACCTGCAAGAGAGTTAGAACATATGTCAAACACCTGCAGGATGACTCAAAAGCTGCAAACACCTTATATCAATCTAGGAACAGCATCTAGAGTCCAAGTACACCCCACATGAAAAATTTCAACTCCCCAGGGCTTGTCCTATTACAAAAGGCTATGCAGCAGGGCAGAGCAGCTCCGGCACAAATATGTGCAGACACCCGTGACACAGGACAGACAGGACACAACAAACAATGGGCACACAACACAGACAGAAATCTCTTGGCAAAAAGGATTACTGTGAGCAACAAGAGCATGCCAAATGAGATGACCAAGGTGAGACTGATGGCAAGCTGATGTGGCTCAGAAAACACTGATGGAAGAAGATGCTAACTGAATGATTTATTCCAAGAACTGCAAAGATGGATGCCCGAGAATCAGACCGGTCAGAAGCCTCTACCGGTCCTCACATTCTTTCAAGTCCTAATCTGCCATAATGGATCCTGGCAGGGCATAGCTGTCCATACAGCTCAGAACAAGACCTGAAAAGACATCTGACTGGATGCTTCCAAAGAGAGATGCAATTCTGATACATGTCTGAGCTCCCCAGGCAAAGGTTGTAAGGCATGGGTGCCAGGCCAAGAAATGCAGAGATCACAGACGATAAGAACAATGCCAAGGTTTCTGACAGGACCCTGAAAAGGCTAAGGTAAGAGACATGAGATACCCAAACAACACATAATGCACAATAGACAAGGGACACAATACACACCGGGACCGCTCTGCCCAGCGCACCTCAGCACTGTGATCAAAAGTGAGATTTTGCTTTTATGGGGCCTAAGGGGCCACTTCATGGACACCCCCCCACCTCCAAAGGGGACTCAAAAACCCGTCGCAGTATTTCCCAAACCAGCACCCTGCTTTCATCCCCCCTGGGGGTCGTGGCCCTCTACTTCTCTCTCAGACATCTGGGGATGCCGGTCTCAGGTGCAAAGAAAGGCCACCTCGTCAGCTGGGAAGGTCCTGCTGGCACCGGGCTGGTGTCTCTTAGACAGCTGTATTAAAGAAAACCAAACATCAATGCCTGATCGTGGCACCACATTGGCCAAAACCCCACAAGTCTGCTACTCACCGTGCTCCTAAGAACGCTCAGCTGCTTGGGCCGCACGCTTCGGGCACACTCAGAGACCGAGGCCGTTGCCACAGGCGACGCCTGGGTTCAGAGGAGATGAGGTGATTTGGCACGGCTGAAACCTGAGTGGACCCTCGCTCCTCCCCCCTACATCCCTGACTCACCACAACTCTTGGGCAGCTGCCGAAGGCCACCCGGATGGCACCTTTAAATAGAAAAGTTTAGGGCTTCATCACCAAGTCCTGTAATGCATCCACAGGCTTCACATTTGCAGGAAACCCAGAGCATCGGCTGGCTGGTGACGGGGGCTTGGCATACTCTGAGTGGATTGCCTAAAGTACACAAACGAGAATGGAAGCTTAGAGCTGCACCAGAAATTGAGACCTGAGCAATAACAACTACTGCTCTCCACTGCTCACCTTGACTGCTGGTATCCACATTTACTTCCTAAAAAGAAAGACAAAGAACAGTGCTGTAACAGAGGCATCATTTACACTTCTGCTGCAGAGACAAACGGGGCCTCACCTGCACGGGGGAAACCCCTCACTCGGGATGGGGCCCTCTGGCACACATTTAATCCATCTGAATCTGAAAAAAAAGTTAGGACAAAACTCAAACTGTTGCAGGATAACTTAGGAGCTCCAGACGTCTTGTGTCCATCTACAAATCCCATCTAGAGTCCCACTACACCCCACATTACAAACTCCCAGGGACTTCTCCTACTGCACCAGGCTATGCGGCAGGGCAGAGCAGCTCCGGCACAAATGTGTGTGCTGACACCCGTGACACGGGACGGGACGTGACAGACAGGGGGGACACAACAGGAACAGAAATCTCCTGGCAAGGAAAGTGGCTGCAAGGACTGAGAGAATGCAAAAGGAGATGACCGAGGTGAGACTGATGGCAAACTGATGAGGCTCAGAGAACCCTGGAGGAAGATGCTGGCTCAAAGATTTATTCCAAGAACTGCAAAGATGGACACCCAGGAATCCTACGGTCAGAATCCTCACCCTAACCTCGCATTCTTACAAAGCCTAATCCGTTGAAATGGAGCATTGCGGAGCACGGCTGTCCGTGCAGCTCAGAACAAGACCTGAAAAGCCACCTGACTGGATGCTTCCAAAGAGAGATGCAATTCTGATGCCTGTCGGAGCTCCCGAGTCAAAAGGTCAATGGCCTGGGTACCAGGCCAAGGAATGCAGAGATTACAGATGCTAACAATGATGCCAGGGTTTCTGCTAGGCTCCTCAAAGGCCTAAGGTAAAGGACATGACACATCCAACCACACAGAACACACAATACACAAATGACACAATACACACCAGGACTGCTCTGCCCTGCGCACCTCAGCACTGTGATCAAAAGTGAGACTTTGCTTTTATTTCCCCCCCAGGCCTAAGGGGCCGCTTCGTGGACACCCCCGTCTCCAAAGCGGACTCAAAAACCCCTCCCGGTGGGTCCCTGCCCTGCGCCCTGGTTTCATCCCCTCTGTGGGTCGTGGCCCTCTACTTATCTCTCAGACATCTGGGGATGCCGGTCTGTGTCAGGTGCAAAGGAAGGCTGCCTCGACATCTGGGAAGGTCCTGCTGGCACTGTTGTTCAACAACTTCCTGTTGTTTCTTCGTCTGCTCCAATAAAGAAAACAAAATATCAATGCATAACCTCAGCAGCACATTGGCCAAAACCCAACAATTCTGCCACTCACTCTTTTCCCAAGAATGCCCGGCTCCTGGGGCCGCACGCTTCAGCCGCACTCGGAGGCTGACGCCATCGTCGTGGGGCACGCCTGGGCTAAGAGGAGACGAGGGGATGTGGCGCTGCTGAAACCTGAGCGGAGCCTCGCTCCTCCTCCCTACTTCCCTGACTCACCGCAACTCCTCGGCCATTGCTGAAGGCTACCCTGGTGACACCTTTAAACAGAAAAGGCAGAGGCTTCATTGCCGAGTCCCGTGATTCTTCCCCAGGGCTCGGGAGAGCGGCAAACCCGGCGCGTCGGCCGGTTGGTGACTGGGGCTTGGCGTACTCCGAGTGGATTGCCTGAAGCGCAGAAACAGGAACAGATGCTTAGAGCTGCACCGCAAAGTGAGACTGGAGCAATAACAACTGCTTCTGTACGCTACTCAATGCTCACCTTGCCCACCTCACCTTGACTGCTGATGTCCAGCTTTACTTCCTAAAAAGAAAAAGAACAGAGCTGTAACAGAGTCACACTTGACACTCTCCCTGCAGAGACAAACGGTGACTGACCTGCTCGGGGGAACCTCCTCACTCGGGATGGGCGGATGGATTTTGCCCTGGATTTTATCCTTCTGCATCTGAAAGAAAGCGAGGACAAACGTCAAAGGGCTGCAGGATATCTTCACAGCTCCAAACATCTTCTGTCTATCTAGGAATATCATCTAGAGTCCGGCCACACCCCACAAACTGCAAGTCCCTGAGCCTTGTCCTGTTGCAGCAGCCTCTGCGGCAGGGCAGAGCAGCTCCGGCACAAACATGTGCAGACACCCGTGACACAGAACGTGACCAACGGGGGGACGTTAAACACGACACATGATGCTTGTGGTGAGGGCCTCGAGGGGAAAAGGCAAAAGGGACCCCAAAGACACAGTAGGTAACACGGTACACCCGACAACACGACGTGGACCGGAACTGCTCTGCCCTGCCCGCCTGCACGCTGACATCAAATGTGGAGTCTCTCCCTTTAGCTGTCCTAAGAGGCCCCTAGGACAAGATTGCTTTTCCCTCTGCTAATTTTTCAATCTGTCCCAGGAACTCCCAACCCGCTGCTCTCCCTTCTCCAGGCCGTGACCCAGACTTATCTTTTGGATGATCGGCGATGTGAATCCACGTTGCACCTGAAATGAGTCTGCCTCGGAGGGCCCCGTGATTGCCTGTTAGCCTCTCGGTCAGCTACAATAAAGAAAACCAAAACCAACGTATGAGTTCAGAGTTATGTGGGCCAAATCCCAGCAAGTCAGCTACTTGCCCTCTCCTGAGTGTGCCTGGCTCCTTCAGGCTCCACCTTCATCCTGATTCCAAGGCTGTGGCCTTTATTATTAGTGGCACCTGGGTTAGAGAAAAGCACAGTTAAATGGCATTCCTGTGGGTGCACTGGATGACCTTGTGTGAGGAAGACATGGGAATGCCTCTGCTATGCTTCTGAAAAGCCCTGCGTGGGGGGGCCCTCAAATAAACACCCTTTCTCACCCTGCTGCCTGCAAACCCCCCTGCCCCCCAATAACTCCTAACTGGACACCTGCTCACCCTCCCTCTCCCAGTCACAACCCTCAACTCACCTGAAGCCTCCATCTCAAACATCATTTTTGACACTGGGCAGATGCCTCCTGTGACATGATCAATCTGCTGAAAGAAGTGCTGTGCTTGACACAACCTGGGATCTCTGGAAGCTGTACACCTCCTAAAAACAATAAAAACACAAAACAAGAACAAAACCAGAAATTGCAAATACACTTTATCACCCCTAAACACAAAATCTGACATTGTCACCTTAAATACTCCCTGTATTCCATGCCATTTTCTTCACAGGATCTTCCAAGCCTCTATTGCTTTAGATGCCCAGAAACACCTGCTGAAAGCAAGCTGAGATAAGCTGAAAGAGGCTCTTCACTGAAATGACAGGAGAGCCCTCACCCCAGCACATCCCAGAGAGGGAATGAAACCCCTCAGCAAAGGCTGGGGTTAATATACCCCTGATGGTGCCCGCCTCCCATTCCCATGATGCCTGAGAAAAGGGAGAGGGCTAATCCCACCAAATATAAAAGCCCTCAGAGCGGCTGCAGCTGTTTGGCTCCTCTGACTCAAATTCAAAGGGAGTAAAGGCCTTGTTATAGAAGACAGCTCTTCAGAAAAATAACAGCGCTTTCTTTTTTGACACAACTACTTGGAGCAGAACAACAGAAAAATGGTAAGACATTAAAGCATTGTGTTTAGGTAGCATACCTAGATAAATTGGGTAATTTGCTGTTAACTTACATAATTATTCTGTGTTTAACAAAAGCCATCTAATAAATTAACACCCAAAACTCCAGCAGCCCAGCTGGCCCTACCAAATCTCTCTGTTGATACATGCAGTAAACAAAACCAAAATCCCAGGAATACCTATCAGAAGTCTAGGAAAGAAACCTCTTGAAATTAATCCTACCTCAAATACAAACCAACCCGTCCAGAAAGTTAGCTTCACTCAAAAAAACTATTTACACAGAGGTAATAAGACCAAGAAATAAAACAACACACCATCTACCACCAACGAATACAACAGTGAAGGAAAAAAACCCATGTTTTTTTCTTTTTTTTATTTCAACTAACTTCCTTTATTAGCTAGAACCAAAGATTTTGCCAGGGCTGTAACAACAACAACAACTTCTTTTTCTTCTTCTCCTTCTGAAATGTCCCTTCTCCTTCCCAAATTCCTTACAACTTCTGAGTTTCAATCCAAGCCAAAAGCAAAATCCGTGCACTTGTGAGTCCAGTGCTCCTGTCAGATTCTCTGTCTCACTCCACATCTTCTTACACTTTCAGTCTGAACGCTGTCCTGCCCTGATGAGTTTGACAGAAGCATTGGCACATGTTAAGAGAGCATTTCCCTCCCTGCCTCCCTCCCTCCCCAGAGCTGGTTTCCTTAGCGCATTTCAATCGATCCCGAGCCCGCAATGATGCGCGCTCACCTCAAGGCTCACAGCAAGCACGCAGCAGCTCAGGCTGCCTTGGCTCCAGGGCTCTGTGCTTGGATAGCTGAGAAAACTCCCGATGAGCCTCTGTTCCAAGACATTGGAATGCAATTTCCCTGTGCATTTGGTGGCAGCTTTGGGTCCCTCTGGGGGACGGCACCCAGCGTGACCCCCGCCCCTCGCCCGCCCCCCACCTGCTCCTGCACCGCCGTGGGGCTCCCTCTCCTGGGCACCTTGGGCTGCCCCCAACGGCATCAGAGCCCCGAGCCTTCACCCCCCCTTTCCCTGACCCCCAAAGAAGGCTCCGAACGAGTCCGACTGCCCTGGACAGCAGCGCAGCGCTTCCCCCAAGCCCTTCCCCAGATGATGAAATCTCCATGTGATTCAATCTCTCCTAGGAAAATTCAGTCAAGGGTTTAATATCTGAAAGCTTTACTCTCAAGAAGAATTATTTAAATTTGCCATCCTTGACAGGAGTTGTGATTGTGAGACCAAGTAGAGGAAGTCATGCTGCGGAACAATAAAATGATTTAAATATGAACTGGTTCAAGCCTGAACTGACACTTTGAATGTTTCTGTCTCTCTGCTAAAAAAATTGGGTGTAAGAGAGGGGTTTAACTTTGTTCATTGCTAAATACACAGAAATCTAACATTGAAGTGCCTAGGCACAATACACACAGGTTAGAAAAATGGCGGTGGTACACATTGCATTCAGCTGCAGGCAGAAGGATTAGCTACCTCACACATACCCAATGTGCCTTCCAAGATATTCAATTGAACTTTGGACTCTGATTTCTAAGAACAGGAAAGTGAGGCAGATTAGGAAAGTGATGCCTGCCAGAAATGTAAAGCTACCTTTGATACAGGTTTGGTGGTTTTGTGGTATTTTTTTCCCTCCTGCAATGCATGCCCAGGTAAAAGGTGTTCAATAGCAAAGCACGTTAGGCACACTAAAAGTCAAGGCAATTCACTTCTTTAGTGTGATGATCTTTCTTCATCTCTTAATAAAAGAAGCTCTCTCTGAATGGCTGCCAGATCTGATGAGATATGGTCAGCAAAAATGCCTAAAGCACGAGACCTGTTCTGGAAAGTGCTGCCCATGCACAGCTTTTGATTCTTGTCTTTGCACTGCTTGTGTTGTACTTTTTCTACTGTTTAGAAAGGTCTCGGCATCCAATATTGGTGGCAAGGTCCTTTTTGTGCAACAGGATGCTTTTTGTGGTTGTCAGTGCTTATTCAAGGTGATCTGTCCACAAGTTTGGGACATATTTTTAGAATCTCCTCTTTAATTGTGAGCATTTCCAGAGCATTTAACTCAAGTGATACTTCTTGTGTTAACAGCTGAACAATGTCTAGGAGAATACAGAAAACTATAAAATAATGGTAAATCACAAAAATATGATGCACAGAAAACCCTTATTAACAGATGCTGAAAATAAGAATGTAACCTTTGGTGGCTTGTTTTGAATTTGAATGAGTGCTCTTGTCATCTGCAGCAAAATATTCCTAACTGCTATGAGAATAACTGGCATTTATGGGCACTTAAATATGGTTCTTTACTATCTGTGTTTGCAGAAAATGGGCAGATCTTCCTGAGGTTAGCTGTTGGTATGCCACTTCTAGAGCAGATGGGGAAATAAAACACTGAAATCAAGTGATTTTAGCAATGAGAGAAGCTAAGGGACTATCAGTCCAAATGACAAGCTGGGGCTCACACCATTCTTTGTGTGTGCTTACAGGAGCTTTGGTTCTCTAGGAGTAAGAAAGAGTCTCTATGTTAAAATGTTTGCCTGCTATTGTTCATTAGAAAAACCCCAAAACTGCCACCCACACAGACTTCTGATCAAGAATGTCAGCAGAGTTTAAAGGCTGAACTCTTCATACTTTTAGGCCTGGGCAGTCACCACCTTCTAAACTGTGGTCTAGTTTATTTAGACTACTCAGTTTCTTTCCTTTTAAAATTGGAATTAAAATTTCATGCACCTTTGGCCTTTTGAACTAATATATATTTGTTGTTTTCATATCCTAAGATTATATTCTTCAATTGAAAAACTATCCTATCATATATGCACCTCAAATGAGACGACTTCACTGGAAACAATATATTATCATGAAAAGTATGCTTTTGTAGTGCTAAACAGTTTTCAGCTGGTTTATCACAAAAATCCCCTCAGACTGTTCAGAACAAGACTGAATTCAGGTAAAACTGTCATTTCATGTGACAATGCAAAGCTCATCTTAGCCAGTAAACAACAATACACTGCTTTGCTGTCAAAATGTAGCCATGAAGGACAGACCTGAGACTCAACTTTTGCACTTTTAAGTATTTTTAAAGCAAGGTGTGCAGCAGGGGGAAAGTTTAGAAAATCAGTAGAAAATGCACTGTTAGATAAAAGCCTTGCTAATTGCCTCCAGAGCCTCTGCGTGAACACAGCTATTTTGTATTCTGGTTGGAGAAGTTATTGTGGAAAACTTCCAACATGCACTTGAAAAAATGTTGAAAAAGGATCATGTGTTCTGCGTTTTTTGTCAGCATTAAAAATAGCTGCAGTGCTGAAGGTGATCTGTGTAGCAGTGATGTAATTGTGAACCAAAGCTGACATTTTGGTGTCTTATCTGCACGTCTCAAAAGGCTCTAGTTGGAGAAAGTGCACTTTAATGTAATTTTGCTTCTGTTGTGGTTGGCCAGTGAGCTGTCTGTGTACATGCATGCTGATGTTTTACATATAAATTTACATGTATTTGATGATGTAGAGATACACACACACAAATACACATAATTTAGGTCTGCAAACAAAATGATGCTTACAGACACATTTTTACATTGATTGTAAAATGTAAGTGTGACCTTCTAAAATCTGTTTCCCTTTATATCTCCAGCTAAATAAGTATTCAGTGCTACCCAGTATAAAATGACATATGACAGCTACTTGCTTAATTATAATTTTTGCAACTACCTCTTGATTACCATACACAAAAAGGCTCAGTGATTAGTTTTGACTGATTAACTTCTGTTTATAAAAGACAGAGAAAAAGACACATGGTGTTGGAGGATGAAATTCTGGTCCTTCAGAAAGAGGAAGCCAAAGAACCTTCCCCAGCAAAAGAGGACAATCCTAAACCATGCCCTGCACAGTCACTCCCAGCAGATGTTGGCCAGCCTGGAAAGATCAGGCAGGCAAGGATAATCAGGAATTCTCCTGTCAGAGTTCCAGCTGGGAATGACTGGGTATGGTGTCAGTCATCTGTGCTCCTGAAACCGGTAGCTTTGTAAAAATAAGTATATAAACAGATCAATGAATAAATTCCCGGAAGCTGGATCCCTTCTGAACAGCCCATCTTCAAAAGTATTACCCAGGGTCTCTGATAGCAACCAAGCCCTAACAGCTTTTCCCTGAGGATGTGGAGATGCTCTGCAGGCTCTCCTCACATCACCAGCACAACTTTTTCCTCCTTGGTGCTGGTGGCTTGCCCCAGGTGCAAATGTGGTGAGAGAACACACAGTGGGAGACCTTGGGAAAGCACCCTAGGTGATATCCTGGCACAAGGGATGATACCTGACAAGATATTTGCCGTCCATAAATATTTAAGCAAGTACTGTAGGAAGGCGGCTTGGGGTTTCTTGCAATGTTCTATTTCCTTTAATTGTCAGTATCTCCTTATCAGCTGGTAGATGTGGTAGGTGTACTGTTATTGTCAAGAAAAACTGATCAAAATACGGGGGAATTTACATACAAATAAAAGCTGCTGGAAATGAACTCTAGTAATCCCAGTGCTCTGGTTTACCTCATCAAGTTTCCTCTCCTCGCCAGTCTGAGCAGAGATGAAGTGATGTGGAATTGCATTCACACCTCCTTCAAGGCAGGAAGAAAAGCAGAGTGAATTCATCCCTTTTTCTCTTGGATGGAGCCACTTTTACCCAAGTCTGCAGCACCCAGGGAACAACTGCATTAAAAAAAAAGACTTGTAAGAACAATGAAGAATTGGAAGGAAGGTTCAGCCACTGAAATGGAGGCCAGCCCACTGTGAAATGTCAGGGTTTATATTTTACTTTTCTTCCAGTAGCTGCTGCTTTTCTCTTGGGATATTTTTTCCCTTCTTTTTAATAAATTCTCTTCCCTGCCTCACTTGAGCCCTGGAGCTTTCTCTGGGGTTTTATTAAGTGGTACTGGAGAGGAAAAATACTTGGGGACATAACACCTCCACACCCCAGACCTTTCCCCTGTATTTGCACACCGGTACCTACCGTGGCCTAGACAGAGCTCTGGAGGGAGAATGGAGAAAATCCTCCCTTGCTGTAGCTGCTGGTGTGCAGGTAGAACTCTTTATCCAAAGTCTGCAGAATTCTGATGCTCTGCAGCAACATGCCAGGATCAGGCTTGGGTTAATGAAGCAATGAAACCAGCACTTAGCTTCCAAATTGATTTCCATGGAGACACCTACCCAGTAATAGTGTTTGGGCTTTTTTATTCAATAAAAGTTTGAGATATAAATATTCTCCATTTGCTTAATAGTTACAGTTGTAAAATATTTTAGGATAGCCTACCCGTCACCTGTCATTCAGCATCTCTATAAATGTCGTGAAAACATCATGGTGAAATAAAAACTTCTTATTTCCAGCCCACAAACCCTATTTCCACACACTCACAAAATCAAATCAGAGACAAAAAGGGGAGAGAAGGAGCTGGGGGGACGGGGAGCGGGAGGGATACAGTACAGCAGGCGACAATGCAGTACTTGCTACACAGTAGCAAAAGAAATGGGTACAAAATTTAGTCTGCTATAATGACAAGCTTCTCAGGACATTTGTTATGGACCAGCGTTGTCCAGTGCACTTCTGAAGGACCACTTGAAATCCAAATTCATTTTCATTGTTCTCCTGCAATTCCAGGCAGCGCTTGGATTTTCGGTTCTGGATAGGACCTCCCTGTAGAGATTGGGGCAAAAAGAAAAAGAAAAAGAAAAAGAGGGGTTTGTGTTAAACACTGACCTTGTTGCATTGCTCCTGCGGGGTAACAGAAGTTATAGAACATTCCAGTGTCCATCTACTGTGAAAACCTTTACAGTTAGAGACAAGGTGAGGATTTGCTGGATTTGGAATGAAGGTTCCTTTGTTGCAGGCTGGTTTAATCTCTGATGCAGTTTGCAATAGTCTCAATTGCCTGGTTTCCATTTCAGCAAATGGGATTTCTGGAATGGAGCTGTGTTTCTACCCATGCATTTTAACCATAAAAAAGCCAAAAGCTTTCCTGTTTGCTTGAGTTCCCTGATTTTGTGGTTCTGCTGCACTTCTGAACACCAAAATAAGGCAAAACACAGCCATGGTATGCTGCATAAATGATCAAATGCAAAAACTGTTTTTTCCTTGAATACTGAAATGTCTTTTATAATCTTTTCTTGCTAATTCTCAGTATTGATTCTGTTCAATTCCCAGCTTAATGCTGCCTTATTAAAGCCTTGCCTTCATTGTTGAGTTGCATCAAGCTTTAAATCTCTGCTATCACACAAAAACCTATAGACCTCAATTACAATTAAATTGTCATGCAGGTGACATAAATTACATTTCCCCCTCTTGAAATCTATTTTCAGTTGGTTCTCTCCTCCTCTCTCCTGTCTAAGGAAGGCAACAGATAACGTGTACACATCAGGGTCTGGGAGGTTTCTGCCAAGATACATGGAGATAGAGTAGGGTAAATTGCACACAGGTCTGAAAGTGGCTTTCTCTAAAAAGGACCTTGGGCTTGTGTAGAGAATCACTGGCTGAATCTGTAAATCAAAGAAAGGATTTGGTGCAGATTAGTACACCTGAAGTATGGAAGGAGCAGAAGCATTCAAATCGCTTATAGGTACGATGGGAAAAAAGAGTTTCTGTAAAAAACCCAAACTGAATACCCAATTCCATGCAAAAGCCCACCACCTCATAGCTCTGTTCAAGTCTGTGTTGTCCCTTGTATTATAAAGTCATTACAAAGTGGAAGGACATTGGCACAAACCCCACAGAAAGGCTGTGTGCTGTTCCCCAGCCAGGGGCAGCTTGTGCCACTCAGGGCAGGTTCTGCTTCACGCACACAGGTGGCTCAGGGTCCCCTCCTATCCCACCAGTAATGCTTAGCGAGAACTTTCTCTGAGATGGGACTTCTAAAATACCATTTTGGACCTGGTTAATGAAATACAGAATTAGGTTTGAAAGCTCCACATTTTAAATATAGCTTTGGACAAGAGGGACATTTCTAGAATAATCCACAAAAATTTGAAACGTGTGGCTCCCATAAATCCTCCTGGTAGGCCTATGTGCAGCCTTGATAAAACTCCCACTGATTACTTTACCAGACAGACAGGCTTGCAGAGGCATTTAATACACCTCCATAATGAAATGCTGAATGAACTGTATTTTCCCACTGCTGTGTAACTGTTATTGACATTTGTATTAATAACAGTAGTTAAATTTGGCTGCCTGGTGGGAAAATAAACTCCAAACTATCCAAAAGTAATAACACTGCATGACATACAAGAAATTTGAAGAAACTAAGATGAAATTTTTTTCAGTTCTGTATTATATGCCATTTCTTGTCTTATCCTAGACATTCACACTTTATCCCTGCCCCTCCACCAATCTCATTCCCCCATTCCCTTTGTTACTTTGGCCTTCTAGAGATCACTGTAGTGAGGTTGATTTTTTTTTTCTCCAAGTTAATTTAATGAGCTCTGAACCAGATTATTCACATGTGAAACTCTGAGGTAATGGATATTTTCTCATTGTGAAAGGAACAGTTATCCTGTTTTCTTCCAGAATAACATTTCTATCCTTGATGAAAGCTGTAGAGTGTGGTTTTCCACTGGGGAGACTCAGGGTTGCATGGCACCCAGGCTCAGCTCTCTTGGCTTAAACTGGCAATTGGGAATTACACCTTACAAGTGTTTCTGCCTAAAGCCAAAATCAAGATGAACTTCCCTGTGTTCTCAGCTGATGCTGGAGGTGCTTGTGTCGCTGTTAGCTATGTAAAGCAGTTTTGCATCTTCCATTTATTGGTTGTCTCTCATCTGACTTCTGGTGCTTGAGACATTCTCAGCTCGGAACCTGCACTGAAGCTGAGGAAAGTTGTCCCACTTTGTCTTGTTAGAAAACTGCCTTAGTTGGGGTCCATTATTTGCCTGATTTCTGGACTTGGGATATGACTCTGTGCATGGCACTCTTAGGCTTCTCCTGTCATTTCTAATTTACTGGCGTAAGAACAGGAACAGAATTCCCTCTCTCCATGTTTTTGTGAAGTACAGCACTTGGAGCTCTGTTAGGTAGAGGAAGGCACAGGGTTAAAACTTAAAGACTGCCATGAGGAGTTGGAATTTTTCTGCTTAATTCCCATTTGTGTCAGTGGTTAAGGGTTTCTTTCACTTGAATGGGCTGAAATGCCATGTGGATTTGGGGGCGGAGGAAGGAGGATGTTCACTGTGGAGACAACGTTTTTTCCTTTTTTCTAAATTTTGTAGAGCAGACCTAGGTGTTATAGTAAATGTGTTCATGAGAAACACTAATACAGGCAGCTACACAAACTAAGTGTAAACCATTCCTAAGGAAAAACAAAACAAACAAGCAACCAAAAAACCATATTTAAAGCCCCCTCACACTCCTTCACACTCTCTGAAGTGCCCTCATGTAAAATCTGGCTTTTATTTAACAGAAACAAGGGAGTTGGGAGATAAAAAGCCAAGGAAGCTCTTTTTGATGTGGGGAAAGTGCTCTGCATTGGCTACTGAAAACCAGCCAGCTGAGTACATTGGAGCTGCTGTATGGAATACAAAGAGACACCAAAATTAAGTAGTGGTTCATGTGTGTGAATTGAGTATTGTAGGGAGCACAGATGCTTCTAGCAAGATGTGCTTTTTTTAACCACAAAAGGGAAATGTGAAGGCTCAAGCCCTGTGAGGAGCTAAGCTGTTCTGTTTCCAAGAGATGAGAGGCCTGTGCAGAGCCTCAGCCTTCAGCCTTCAGAGTGGGTGCAGTGCACACTTTACTCAGAGTCATTAAGAAAATTAAATCCTCCCCAAAGAGTTAGGCCCAAACATTCTGCAAGTGTTTTGAAAGCCAGTGGCTGCACTCTGCCCCGGGGGCTCTGGTGAAATCCAGCTGTGGTGAACGTGTGAGGACGGGGCTGCAGCACAGCTGGATGAGCACTCCCAGCTCACCTGCACAGCAGCTCTTCAGGGCACTGGGCAGATCATTTAAACCCCCACAGAGCCACTTGTTCTCCTCTGCACAGGGCCTTGAATGTGTCCTACAGCAATGGCCTGGGGTGCAGCAAGGAAGAAAGGCAGGATGAGCACGGCTGGCTCTCAGATCCACACAGACAGGGAGGAACAAGAGCAGTGCCTGGTTCAGCTCTGCCTCTGCTTTGGCTTTAGAACTGCTCTGAAGTACAGGGAGGAAGGTTTCTATACTCAATTCACACACATTACTTAAAATTTTCTGTTATTTTTCTACTTACTGTGTCTGTTTTCACCCCTTCATATGCCCAATCCAAGCCTGGGACAGTGGTACTGTCCTGTCAGCTCTGGACTGCTGACAGTGCACCTAATACAGGTTGCAAAGCCTGAACTAGTGAGCTGTGTAAGGATTAAAGCACACAAACTGAGTAACTCCAGGAAAAAAATGAGCAGGCAGGACTGAGGCATCAAAAGCTAACACTGTCTTGTGCTCCTCTAACTGGCCTGGCCTCCAAATTCCAGCATTCCTGAATGGTTTCTGCAGTCTGTTGCCATCATTAGCATTTGGAACCCTAAAGCCAAATGCAAGCAAAGGTGCCCTTTAAGTGAATTATTTTTTGCCTTTTTTTATAGTAAGCAGTTATCCAAACTTGTATAAAACTCTCATAATTGGATTTACTGCATGCTTGGCAAAAGGGTTTATTGTGTTACTACACTTCATGCTCACTGAAAGGAGAGATGCCCATCTGGGTTCCTTCCCCCATTCTAGGCAAGATCTCTACTTTCCAATTTAAAGGCAAAACTTGATAGCCTAGAGTAATGTCTTTAAGCATGAAACATTAAACATAATTCTGTAGACTGAAAGAAGTTTCAAGAGGCATTGTGGGCAATTGAACAGAATTAGGATTAAGAGCACTGATGATGAGAGACAGCTCAATGGCAGAAGGAGTCTCAAGAGGATAAATAAGCATCCAGGTCAACTCTTCTGTAAAAAATGGACTGAACGTGTCAGCACTAACAGGTTTGACTGGGAACTGCATGGTTTTTGCAAAGCAAATTGAAGCAATTCCTGTGAGAAACACAAATGTTCTCAGCTCCTGCTGGTACTCAGACACACAGAAGGCTGACTGGGTGATTTGTAAGTGTACTGTTAATGCTAACACTGTCCCAAGTCAACATCCTGTACACAGAGTGGAAAGCAACGCTTCTGACTTCCTTCAGAGTTACTGCACTTTCTGCATTTCTACTGGATGGAAGGGAGTTCCTTCCCAGTCCTTCACTAAAGCAGAATTTATCCAGTGCCATGGCATTTAAGGACACCATCTGCTGTGCCTGCAAACCCTTGCAGTACAAAGTTGTGCAAAGCAATCAGACAGTTTAGACAGGCTAGTTTTTGCTGAACTGTTCTATGGGATCTGTTTTGGTTTACTGGGGGTGGCAGATGCACAGGTACCAAACCTGATCACTCTGTAAGGCCCGGTCACTTGCAGAGAAGAAGGATGAGGGCTGGAGGCTGTCAGCATTACTGCAAATCAGACTGATGGCTGTTTTTAAGGACTTACTCTAAAGGGAACACTTTTCCTTTCAGAGTTTACACCTGCTTTTTGCTCATCATATTAAAGCTCCTGTTATTCTGCCTGAAAGAGAAAAAACATGCTCGCCTAAACCTGGATTTTTCAGAAAAAGGTCCTTAAAGGTTAATAAGTATATCCAGCCTCCTATCAC